TGAAGTAGTTCCTTCATTGACTGGAAAAATCTAAGCTCAGGAACTTTTAAAAGATATTTTATTTCAGTAGTGCATATCAGTAACTACAAATGGAGGGAGGGTAGCTGGAAGGAAGCAGTCCCCTCTACTTCAACTCTAATTTCCCAGTTTCTGTAGCAGTCTCCTTTCTTCCTCTTCTTTCCCACATCTATTCTAAAAAGCTGCTAGTCCTCAGGCAGCACTTAGACAGCTCAGAGGTTAACGCTCCAACATCGTTTCTCTTCAGACGCAAGGCTCTGAATAGCTAGCTATTCCTGGTAACTTTTGCGGGGTAAGTAGGCAAGAGGGCCCCCCAAAGTGGAGTGAATGTGTATGCCCCTCATCTCTCTACTTGCCTTCGGGGAAAAAAAAGTCCCTCATTTTTCTGCACATAGATCCGAGGATATCCACATTCTCTTGCATTCCTCACAACCTTTGAAAATTGATTTAAAGTGTGCTGCCGGAAAAACAACAAGCGTGTCTCGCTTGGCCTTCTGGGAGTTGTAGTCCTGTAAGCCCACAGGCTGCCAGGCTAGCCCTGGAGCTGTGGACTACATCTCCCAGGCCTTCTCTAAGTCCCTACTGCACAGACTCAGAGCCCCAAGCTGGGAGGTGGCTACATTGTATCTATTGTATACCTCGGCCGGTGTATTTTTGTACTTTGCTCCACACGAGAAATAGAGGGTGAAAAGCATGGCAGATGAGCAAGAAATCATGTGCAAATTGGAAAGCATTAAAGAGATCAGGTATGTGGCATGTTTAGCATACTCCAGCCCTCCTTGAGTCTCCCAAAATCCCTCGCTGAAGGAGAAAGCTGTTACCTATCTATTGTTGGGCAACTTGCCGAGGGGAGTAAGAAAGGAGCTGCTTCACCACAGACCGGAAAGCTAGAGAGATTCAAAATTGAGAGGAGGGAGTAAAACAGGGAAAGAGGAAGAGAGCAACAGCAGCAGCGATCGTGAGAGGTATTTTGCTAGATTTGACTGAGAAAGAGAGGACACAGGGACTGGTCCCAATAAACGGGGTAAAGGTCGGGATTCACAGATGCATTTTTAAATAACACTTGTTAATTCCAAGGTATCCTCTTTAGGAGTCGAAGGTCCCCACCCCCACCGCGTCTCCGCTTCAACCTCAGGATCTGAAGCTCAGGAAAGCCTTTTAAGAGCCAAGTCTAGTGTGTCTGGGCTGATAGAGGCTGCCTTTGGCTGCGGGGCGGGGTCTGTAGAGCATCCGAGGGAAAATGGGCTAGGAGGATGTCGCGCGCTCGATTTTTTTTTTTTTAACCCCCTTGCTGTTTCCTTCCAATCGCGCTTGGGCGCTTGGAGGGTGGTGTGGACGGGGGATGGGAGCTACGGAGACTGAGGACACTGAAGTAGCTGCATTGATGGTGGAGTCGCGACAGCAGCTCTGAAGAGCTGAAGATGAAGGAGAGGCTGGCAAAGTGGGAGTTGCCAGTCTACCACACTACTCTGAGAGCAGCTTTGGCAAGGCATTGATGTTGTCTTTGCTCGAAGCACAGTGGCGCCTGACGGGGCAGATTAGGTGGGTAGGTAGGCCTTGCTTTACCTCTTCTACTCCACCTGAGTACTTGCTCCCACTCTTTCTGAGGATGGTCTGAGTTGGGCTGTCTCCTTGTTTCTGTGGAGTGTTCTTCAGAAACCTGGGGGAAAGAGGTGGAGTTTATCAAGTGTGTCCGTTTAGTAAATAAGGCCATAAAATTTAAACATGACACATTTGACAGGAGATTTAACTCCTGGAGTGCCTGAGTACACATGGTGTGGTGGAGAAGCACCTATGTATTTTCCTCTGAAGGGGTTGTTTTTCCTCCTGCACAAGAGGAGAAGGAAGAGAATTGTCATTTATTGAGCCTCTGGTGATCTACTTTTACATGTTTCTGCAAGAGTCCTGTGACTTTCCCTTTAAAGCTGGGAAAATGGAGACTCACAGTATTTCAATGAGTTTCCCAGAGCCACACAACTTGAAAATGCCATGTTTGACTCTAGTCAGTCTGGTTATAGAGACCCTGTCCTTCCCACTGCCTCCCATAGAAAATCTGGGGAGGGGTGTGTGTGTGTGTGTGTGTGTGTGTGTGTGTGTGTGTATGGGGAGGTGTAGATCATGGTGCAGTCTTTTTGTCCCTACAAAACGTTAAGAGATAGGAAGCAAGAAATCTTTCTGTAGGAGAATGTCATAAAATGCAGTTAATATGAAGCTTGGGCCTCTAAGTCGTCTTCTCCTCTTGGGCTTTAAAAGAAGCATCTCTTATTCCCAGAAAAGAACCATGTAGGAGCAAGGAATTTCAAAACCATTAAAAATGTACCTCTCCTAGTGGAAAACATGTAGGGGGCCAAACATCTGCCCTCACCAGTGTTAACCAGGAGTTTCTACTCCAACTAGCTAGGGAGGAATCAGTAAAGGTGTAGAGAGAAGGATGAATAACATTCCTAACCGGCAATAGTGAACACATCCCAACCTGAACATCAAGAGAGACCCAGTAGAGAAACTGACATTCTGCCCCATTTCCATCTAGGAGAGTGTCAGTGCAAACCTGCTAGAACAAATTTAAGTAAGATACAGTCTTCAACTTTTAATGAAAAAAACCCACCATACCAAGATATCAACTTGAATGAGAAGAGAAAATATACAGATTCTAATACTGAGATGGCACAGACATTAGAATTATCTGACAAGATACTTCTCATAATACTTATAATAAAAGTGCTTCAATTTGCAATTAAAACATACTTGAAACAAATGATAAGGGAGAAACTAACAGCAAGTAAATAGAGTATCAAAGCAACAGCAAAATAAAAAAGCCAGTGGAAATTTTATAACTGAAAAGCACAATACTTCCTCCCTAAAAACTCAACAGATTGGCTCAATAGCAAGTGATGAAGATGGGAATGAAAATCAGACAACAAAAATATAGAGCAATAGAAATCACTTTGAGACTGTTACAAAACCTTTAACATTCATGCCAACAGATTCCCAGGATAAGAAGGACAGGAGTGCCAAAGAACTTGAAGAAATAATGACCAAAACTCCCCAATTCAGTGAAGGACTGATTCATGAAGCTGAGAAAACACCAACAGAATCAACACAAAAGAAGTCAACATTCTCAAAAGAATGAAAGAGGAAATGAATCTTGAAGGGAAGGCAACCAAATAGAAATAGGACCTAGCTGATATCTACAAAAGAGAAAAATTAGAGTGACAGATTTCTCATCAGAAAATGACAAGACCCTAGCAGGAAGTGGTACATTTTTCAACTGCTGGAGGAAGACAACTATCAATCTGGAATTCCATATTCAGTAATTATATCTTTCAAGATGGAAGGGATAAGCGAGATATTCTCAGAGGAAGGAAAACTAAGAGAATTTATCAGTGGCTCCACTCTGAAAAAATAATGAAATAAGTTCTTAAAATAGAAAAGAAAAAAGAAAGAATCTCAAGACATCAGGAAAGAAGAATGGTCACAATAAGCACAACATTGGTAAATATGTTAGATTTTCCTTTTCCTTTTAAGTCTTATTAATTGTTGGATCAGTGAAGTAAATTTTATAATATCTAATATAATCTCAATGTATATAAAGGAAGTATTTATGAATTTTTTCAAACAGTGGAGTGTAAAGGTATGTAAGAGGGAGGGAAGGTTTCTATATTTCACTAAAGTTAATAAAATGATGTCAGAAGATAGTGATACATTTTGCATAAATAATATAGTACTGAAAGCAAATGCTGAAAACTATGCAGAGGTGAATTTAAAAACATTAAATATATGCCAAAATGGAATTCTAAAAAAAAAATTCAGTTCATCTAGGGAAGATAGTGCATGGAAAACAGAGAAACTGAGAAAAGATAAAATGAATAGAGTACAAAAAATAAAAAGGCAGATTTAGTTTTAACATATCAATAATTAGGAAAAGTGTAAGCAATATGAGTGCAGCAGTTAAAAGAGAAATTGGCAGATGGGCTGGGGATTTAGCTCAGTGGCACAGCGCTTGCCTGGCAAGCACAAGGTCCTGAGTTCAATTCCTGGTACCAGAAGAAAACCAAAAACATAAGCAAAAAAAAGAGAGAAATTGGCAGAGTGGATTAAAAAAAAAGTACAATGCTATGCTTCGGTTATATCCTTCTAAAAAGTGTTATGCAGTGTTAATCAAAAGAAAGCAGGAATGGCTATCCTATTTGTCTTTATCAAATGAATCAAGCTTCAGGATTAAAACAGTCCCCAGGGGCAGAGAGGTACATTACACAATAAGAAAGAGTCAGTGAAGAAGGCATAACAATTCCAAATGCATATTTTTGAAAAGTGAGTTAAGCTGCTTTTTTGACAATTGAACTATAATGTACAAGGGTTAAATCACCTGGAATAAAAATGTAAAGTGGAGAAAATGTTACATTGGTATCTACATAAGGACAGTAAAGATATAGTGGAAGAAGAGAGAAGAGAACAAAGGAAGGGGTTAAAAGTAGCTGGAGAAAGAAATTAATATTTGTTGAGCACCTACTAATTTATAATCTCTTGGCTCTCTTAATCTTCACTCTTCCTGATGGTAATCTATAGTTGGAATTACTAAAGGCATTTTTCAGATAAGGACAGAGATTCAGAGAAGTTACACAACTTATCCATGATGACAAAACTAGGAAAAAAAGAATATGTCCTCCTGTTCACATGGCACATGTGTTTTAATATCACTAAATGCCCTTACAAATGCAGATAGTCTTTTTATTGTTTTGTTTGTTTGTTTGTTTGTTTTGAGACAGTCTCACTGTGTAGTGCAGGCAGGCCTTGAACTCACTTATGTAGTCCAGGCTGGCTTTGAACTCACAGTGATCCTCCTGCCTCAGCCTCATGAGTGCTGGGATTCCAGGCCTATGCCATTATGCCCAGCTAAGTGCTGATAGTCTGACTGACCATTATTCACAGTTCTTCAAGTACTCAAAGTTATCATTGTCATTATCATAAAGATCTTAATGTTGTAAGCAGAGCAGCCTATTTCTGTTACAAATTTAATGTTTTTGGGGCCGAAGTTGCAATGATGATGCATTGCTACTTCGTGTAGCAATGATGAGGCATTATTACCTCGTGAAACCAAGCTAAGAGCCTATACATACCCGGAGCAAGGCTCAGAGACATACACGTTCATGCCTAGCATTCACAAACATCACTGGCAGAATTTATAGTGGAAAAAGACCAGGACTGGATTCTCTTACCATAGCCCATTTCCTTCTCCTGACTTTGAGCATGTGTCCAGCCCAACTAACCCCAACTATACTTCAACATTGTGCTTCAGACCTCAGCCTCCAAACCCTACTCTATTTTCTCAGTGTATTTATTCTGTGGGTTTTAAAGTGGTGGTGAAGGAGCATGCTGGTATGTGAAAGAAGAAAGAAAAGAATGAAAAAAGAGGGGAGTTAGAAAAGAAGAAAAAGGGAGGAGAGCACTAATGAAGCCAAGAAAGTGAATATAGCCACTGAAACACAAGCTAGAGTCTTTCACTTGTTCCCAGTGTGTACCAGTATTTTTCTAAAACGCCCGTGCCATTTGTATGTACGTATTGTAGACATCCATGCCCAGATGAACATGTATCCATACAACACAAGCCTTTCTCATTTGCAAAAGAAAAATTCATTTTAGAAGTGTATGTGCTGTTAAGAATATCATCCTAAATGTAAGGTGTAGCCCTGGGACTTCCATCTTTTATCCGTGCTCAACATATTCTTCTGGAGAAAACCTCATATTCCCATGGCTTCAGATATTGTCTTCCAAAATTCCTTTTCTCTATACCATCCTTTTCCGAGCTTCATCCAGTTTCCTACGTCTCACAGCCTACTGGGCTTTTTGACCTGGGTGCTTCACAGATACAGTTCAGATTGACCAAGAATTATGTCTTTGTGTCTCCCCACTACAATCAAGCTCCTCACCCTAAAAGTCTGGTTTAATGTTGTAATTCTTTGCACATTTACCTGAGATGCAAATGTGAAAGTCAAAACTGATTCCCCTTTCTGTTTTCTGGACCACCTCCAGTCACATAGCAAGTCTTACTGTTGCTATCTCCAACGTTTTGCTGAAATTCCTGGAACACTCACCACCTCCGCAGCCACTGCCCCATTTCAGTCCTACATGATGACAAGTCTGAATATTAGTATTGTTGCATCCATTTCTACCTATATAATTACTTCCCATTTCTAACTACTCCTGTACCCCTAAAGTCAACCTCAGTGTTGTTAGAAGTATCTCCGTAAAGCATGGGTGCTGTGTTTTTCCACAGCCACCCTACTGACTTCCTTTTGCTCACAGTAGAGTTTTTGAAAATACAGACCATTGCCCATTATTTGCATGTGAAGGGAAGTTAGTCTGCTGCTCATAATATTAATAAATTTTATTTAAAACAGGAAAACTCCTAACAAATATAAGAAGTTGTTGTATTCTAGGGAAGGTTTGGTTTCAGTTTGTCTATGGGGTCTTTTCAAAATTTGTATATGTTTGCAGTTCATACAGTTTACAGCAGTCTTGGGGAGTGGTCACACATACATACTGCAGTTTGTTTCCTTTCTTAGAAATCCCCTTTCCTCCCTATTCTTCCATGTTCCTCAAGTTCCCCTATTCCATTTTCCATTTTTATTGATATTACTAATCTTAGCTCATGTTATGGCATATAATGTTTACATTAATGGAGGTTAATAAGCTCCTGGGCATGGCATATCCTTATTCTACTTCCTTTTCCCCTACCCCTACTCCTTTCCCTTGTTTCCTTGGATGACTTCCCTATTGCAAGAGATTCACCCCTTGTTCCCTTCTATCCATCCTTTATCATTCTCTTTGTACTTTGCTTCACTCAGATGAGAGGTACAATATGGTATTTAAGCTTGAATGTCTGGTTTATTTCATTCAACATTATATTTTCCAGGTGCATCCATTTTCCTAAAATGTGTCAAATTTGTCGTTCCGTATAGCTGAGTAGTATTCCATTACATATAGACACCACATTTTCTTTATCCAGCTGTCTGTTGATGTGTATGCAAGCTGCTTCCAGAAATTAGCTGTCACAAATTTGTGCTACTATTAACGTTGGCATGCATGTATCACTGTAGTATGATGACTGTGTGTGATTGCTAGATGTCTGATAATTTAATAAAGATGCTTTAGTGAGCTTCTTTATTCAACATATTTTTTGGTGTTCTATAAGCATAGCTGACATATATTTTAAACTCTTCTTATATTTGGGAAATTTTCATCTATGGTTTCTGTACATGTTAGTAAATCCGTCTGTACTGTCTTCTAATTTTCGCTAACTTCAGCTAGCCTTAGATTAGTCTTCTCATTTTCATCTGGCAGCTGCTGGGTAATTTTCTTTTGTTTTCTATTTTGTTTTTGGCTTTTTTGAGTTTTTACATTTTAATTTACTATTTTGTCTTCAATATCAGACATTGTCTTCATATTGGTCATTTCTGCAATTTATGAATTTTATAGTTTTATTTCATATATTTCTGTATGACATCTTTTCAAGGATTCCATATCCTTGTTGAATCTGTCATTCAAATTTTGAACTATTTTGGTTAGCTCTTCCAGTTTTCTTTAAATCTATCATCCTGAAATTCACCTTGGGCACATTGAGTAAGATTGCTGTGAACTTTTTATTCATTTTTTATGAACTTCTCTATTTTCTTTATCCCTTCCATGAATTTTTCAAAGATATTTGCTACCTGGTATTTATTTTCTTTTCACTTTGTGACCCCTTGCTCTGCCTTGGGAGGGTTGGGTGAATTTGGGGATCTTCTGTTTCCTTGCTTTCCCATGGTCCTATGTATATATATTTCTCTTTTCCCCTTCTTTTTGGGGGATTACTGCAGGTTGAGGACTAGGACTGGAAAAGTGAGGAAAATTTGTGCTTATATGGAAAACTTCAGTAAGGTGTTACCTCCCTGTGAAGAATTTTTAGCTTTGTATGTCCAGTGCTAGTATTTACTCCTTTTGTTACTTACTTTACTTGATTTGTACTCTGTGCCTATGTTTTGCCAAAAGAATTACTTCTCATTATAACAGCACCCTCAGATTTACTCTTACACCACATCTATATGATAGTCCTTGCAGCTACTCTTTCCCCTTTTGTCTATCTTCTGCACACTGTGATAGTTTATTATTTGTCATTGTTCTGCAATGAAGTAGGTGACATGGGTTGAGGAGAAGGAGGGTTGAATGAGGAGTGTGAGACACTAAGGGGGAAGTTTGAGGGGAGGAATTGTGGTAGATGAGAAGAAAAGGATGATATGAGGTCTGATTCTATTGAAGTATTTTAATTGAATTGAAGGGTTCATAGTGAGAGTTTTCACAGGATATTTGTGGGAGCAAGGGAAAGATATGACTTTGTGATTCAGCAAAACGGTATACTTTCCAAAACCTGCTGATAGGGAGGACAGTAAGGTAGTTAAAGTAAAGCCAAAGGTTTAGGGTGCGGTGGACCTAGGTTTACTACTAGAGAAGATAGA